TTGGCCTTCAGAGCCAGGAGGCTGTTTTGGTGCCATGAACCTGTCCTTGTTCTCCGGAGAGCTGCCCAAGTCCTGGCCCTGTGGTTTGGAGACTTAGGAGAGGAAGAAGACTGGGACAACTCTGGGCTCTGGCCTGCTTGGGGCCCAGGGGGGAAGCTGGACTTCCTGGGACCCCACCCACTTCAGGGCTGAGCCTCAATGGCCAGGGGGCCGTGCTTGTTAGGAAGCACCCAGGCAGAAGTAAGAACCTGTGATCCCCAGTCCTACCCTGGGAGGCAATGGATTTGGGAACAAAACCTGACACTGGGACTGCCTGTCAGGCAGGACGGGCACTGGGGATGTGGTCCTAGTTCACTGATAAAAGCTAAGGCGAACTGGAGGAAACTTTGGGAAAATGACCACATCAAGTGTGATGGTTTGTTGGTTGCAGGGCTTCTGAGCCACCGTCGGGGCTGCGGTCTCACTCACCTGGTTAAAACAAAGACATCTAGGAGTGAGGCTGCTGTCGTCAGGCGGTACCAGGTGGTGCCAAGCCACCAGTAGAGAAGCCCAAAGAGCCGGCCTGAAAAAGTGGTCCTTGCGCTCAGACTTGAGGTCCTGCTTAGCATGCCATCCTCCTCCCACCCGTGACCCTCCTGGTCCCACTCCCAACACCCACGTGCCAGCACCTCTGTCGTATCCCACAGTGGTCAAGCTCCAATCCCACCTGTCCACTCTGCCCACACTCTCAGGCCGCTGTGAAGTTGCCCACCGAGGCCCATTCTAGGAGCCCAGTTGAAGAGATGGTTAAGAAGTTACAGCTGTGGAAGTAACTGAGCACACCCAGCCAGCACCCACCTGGAAAAGTGATCACCGTCCAGACAAAGGAGCCTGCCCGGGAGACCACGCTTCCTAACTTTGACCCTGAACTGTGCTGATCCATGTCCGCGTAGCCTGCTGGGGAGGAGGAGAAGAAACCTGTCAGCTTGGGGTCACTTTTAAGACCCTTGGGGACTTGAAGCCTGACTGTTATTGAGCTGAGGCCACACAGCCTTTTACTTCAAGTCCCTGAAGCATCACATGGGTCTAGCACATAGTAGGTCAGGGAATGTTTGTGGAAAGAATGAAATGGGAGATATCAGACCTTTTATTTCCTACCAGAGATTCTCCTGACAATGTCTCAATCCACTGATCAGAATAAGATAAAGCAGAGATCACTCATGTGCCTTACAACTTCTGAGCACCTGCTATGCTTAGGGCCCCATGTTAAACTGCTGCAATGGGCAGAACCCAAAAGAGCTGGCTGGGGGTGGGGGTGGGGCAGACAGCCAAGTACTCAGCAGCCTCAGCTCAGTTTCAGGGAAGGCTGAGAGCAAGAGAGGTGCCCCTGCTAGGCTGTGAGGTGCTTGTCACATGCTGTGCTCTCTTGTACAGCTGGGGTGCTCCCTGCCCTGGCCTGCCATGTCGCCACATTGTCTGAAATGAGCTGGGAGAGGAGGTGCCGCCTACTCGTGAAGTCGTCCTCAGAAGAGTAGCCGGAGGAGGAGCCCAGGAAGTCCTCAGTGGCCTTGCTCTCTGCCAGCCCATTCGCCTTGCTGCTCTCGGTGCCGCCCGTGCCCCTCCTCCTCCGCACACGCAAGTCCTCGCCTGCCAGGCAAGAACAGGGTCTCTGCTAGGCCTCCCAGAGCCAGGGCATCCATAGCTTGGGCAGATAGGCATTCCACAGAGGAGCACTGAGAAGGGATCGGAGGAAGCCAAGCCCCAGGTGGAAGACTCAGCACACTCACCCCAGTAGGGCTCACTGTGCAGGTGGTCATCGAGGAGGGCACTCCTGGCGAGGGACACGGCCTGGGGGCTGCCAATATAGGACTCCCGGACCATGGACTCGCTGTAGTAGGAGGTGTGTGAGTCAGAGGAGGGGCCCAGCTGCGGCGCTGGGGACATGCGCTTCATGTTGCTGGATTTCCTCTTCAAGGTCCTGTGGGACAGTCAGGAGGGGAAAGGCAGGGAGCAAGGAGGTGAGCCTAGACAGGAAGCAGGGCTCTGCACCCTGCCGTAGATAGTGTGGGCTGGCCTTGTTGCTCGGCAACCAAAACCTGGTCAACCAGGAGGGATTTCTCCCCCTTGGTGTTGGCAAGCATACTAACCTAGTGACATCCTCAGCCTAGGTATTTTCTCTGCTCCTGTTATCTCTAAATTTCACAGGCCAGCTCATCAGTTAGCCAGCTTCAAACCTAGGTCTCTGACTTCAAAGCCCAAGGTTTTTCCCATGCTTCTTAATAGACTAGCAATTTTGACAGCCCATAGAAAACCCAGACCAAGCTGACCTGGTTTCCTAGAGCTAGCCAATCCCTCAGCCTTGCATCTGCAAGGAGTGGGGGCGGCAAGACACCCAAGTGTACAGGTGGGGACACCAGCATGGCTTTGGGTCAGGGAGGACAGCCACGCCCAACCAGAGCAGAAGAGGTTCCTGCAAGCCCAACTTGCAGTTGGGGCTTTCTGGCTTGGTGTGTGCTTGAAGCTGCCTCTCCCCACTTCCTGTTCTTTGATTGTGAGGGCAGCAGCACCAACTTACAGTGGGTAAAGAAGGGGAGGTAGAAACAGCACCTCGTAAGACAACCCCTTTAGGCAAACTCGGGCATCTGTGGCTATGAAGGCTGCAGGGGGATAGATAGGGCCAGTGGTGCTTCCCCAAGTCCCTACCTCAGAGGACTGTCCTTAAACAGGGTGTTCTGGCTCCCAGCCACAGAGCTTCCTCCGCTGCTGCTGCTGCCACCATCATCATCAACCTGAGAGTAACGCGTGAGGCGCTGGCTTCGTCGGGACATGCTGAGGTGGGATGTGCACCCTTCCCCTAAAGAAAGGATGATGCATGAGGCCAAGTCCTTTCTGCAGGAGGAAGGGCAGAGGCCGGGTGGCAGAGGGCAGGCCCTTGTGCAAACTGATATCTGGCTTCCATCTGTGCCTTGCCCAGGGCTCACTTGGCCACCCTGGAAGCTTCTTCCCTGAGCACCCTGAGATGGTTTTTTGTTTTTTTTTTTTTAAATATTGATCCTTTCCCTTTATTTTTTTTAAACATTTATTTATTTATTGTGTGTGTGTGTGTGTGTGTGTGTGTGGCCAGCTCAGCCCACCAGGGGGCGAGGCTGGCTGGCATGTGGTGCTGGGGGATCGAACCGTGGTCCCTGTGCTTTGCCAAGCTTGTTCCATGTAGGTGCTTTAGACCACTGAGCCATCTTGCCAGCCCCAAACCCTGAGATGTTAAACTGGGCCTTCCTGACATGAGCAGAGAGCACAGCACACAACAGGCATTCTCAAGGTGCCAGGCAAATGCCTTAAGTCACTGCCACCTGGCACACCCTCCAGCCTAGGAACCCGCCATGCTACCCTCTCTGAGCTGCAGCCTCAGCTCACAGATTCCAGGGTGGCACTGTTTCCTCTGCCTCCTGACAGATTCACTGGTCCAGGGCCCCAGTCATGCCTGATTCCTGAACCCTTTCCCCAGGAGCCCAGCCACACTGCGACCATCTTGTATTCTGTACCCCCTCATCAGTGATGCTATGCTGCCACATCTTGACATGGCAATGAGAAGACACCATGTTTAACACCTAATAGGTGCATGGCTCCCTGCACCCCACATGTGTTCCAAACAGGCTTGTGAGTGTCATCGCACCATCCACATGGTTAGAATCTGGGAGGTGGGTAACTTGCCCACCACCACCCAGCCTGAGTAACGGCCAGATCTGATCTCAGATTGGACGGGTTGTAGGACTTGGGTCTTTCTTGATTCCACCAACAAGTTTGCAAGTCAGTTCAGAAATGAGGTGTAGGTCCCAGGTAGTCTAACAACCACCACACATGCTCAGAGCAAGTCTGTGCACTGTGTGGTTACATAACAAATATTTGTTAACAAACGGACAAGGTGGGGAGTGGAGCAGAGATGTGGCATGATAGGCTGGTTGGTCTGCAGTGCAGAAACTGATAATGAAGTAAAGGAGGCCAAAGTGAACAGACCGGGTCAAAGGCAGCAATCCACCACATGCGCAGGATTAATAAACCTCTCAGCTCTACAAACCCAAATTCCAAATCTCAGAGTAACAGTTGAGAAGTCTCAAGTTAGCATTGTGACCAGTCAGGATTACAAAGTCATTGCTCCATCCTAAACGCCCTCAAAAGTTACTTTATAGTGCTTGCAGCCAGGTATGGTGGGACATGCTTGTAAGCCCTGCACTCAGGAGGCTGAGGCAGGAGGATCGGTGGGTTGAAGGCCAGCCTGAGCTACATAGTGAGCTCAAGTCCAGCCTGGGTTAAAGAGTACCTAAGATTTGTAACAGTCTATCACTTTTTTTTTTTTTTTTTTTTTGGTGGCAGAACCAGGGATTGAACTCAGGCCCTTGTGCTTGCCAGGCAAGCACTTACTCTACTGAGCCATCTCCCTGGCCCCTGTCTATCACTTCTGATGCTTCTGATTAACACTGAAATCTTGCTGGTTCTCCTGACCCTGAAGTGAGCATCCACTAACACACCCATTCTCAACAATGCAAACCAGAAGGTCAGGTTCCTCCAGCTAGTGCATCCTCTTTTACAAAACAAGTAGCCTCCTGTCTGGGCTCCTTGGCATCTTTCCAGGTGGAATGCCCATCTGGCATCTTTCCCTGGCTGTAGCTGGTGTTGGTAAAGGACCAATTGGTAGTAGCCAAAGCAGGAAGTTGGCTTGGGTCCTGGACTGTCTTTCACTCCTTATAAGGTAGTTCCACCCCATACTGCCCTCCCCCTTCTGACAGCTCCCCGGGCCCACATGGGGCTCCTCCTCCTAACCCCTGCCCTGCTGAAGCAGAGGAAACACTTGCCCAGAGCCAGAAACAAAGCAACCTGTTTACCCAATACCCACGCAGCTGCTGGCAAAAAGCTAAACATTCTAATGGAGGTGGGGGGCGTGTGCTGGTAGCTGCCACCAGCCTGCCTCCCCCTCTGGAGCTCCTAGAGCAACGGAGCTGCCTCTTATCTCAGTCTGGCCTGCAGCATCCTGGTATCACCGAACAGTTAACAACTAAGTCCTGGTTTCACGAGAGACGGAAAAGGTCAAAGCCTAGCCTCCTAGATGAACCTCTAGGAGTTCAAATCATTTGCATACCAACGCGCGCGCGCGCGCGCGTGCACACCCCCCCCCCACACACACAAATTAACCCCCCAGAATGTCCTTTCTTCATTTTGGAGCTGAACTGTATTCTCTTCTCAGTTCCGCCCTCATCAAATTTAACCTAGATCGTGGGCATCTTGAACATGACACCCTTTCTGCCCGGCACACTCGCACTCCCTTCGCTGTGGGACCCTCATTCCCGCCTTTCTCGGTCCCCCCAGACAGTAACCCCAGAAATGATCCAGGAAGGTACAGCTAAGTCACACCTCCCCCACACTCCCGGTCTTGGCTTGTTTTGTTTTAGAACTGAGCAAAAGCGGGCCTCCCTCCTATTCCTAGAGTCCTGACAGGCATCAGCAGGGAACTGCCAATCCCAGAACCCGCCCGCCTGGCCCCGCCGTCCTGGCCCGGTGTTGGGCTGCCTGGGACACCCGCCCGGCCCCGCCCTCCGAGCTGACCAGTGCGCGGCCGGCCCGGGCCGAGGGCCGGAATGAGTCAGGCACCGGCCAGGGGCGTGAGCCAGGCGGGGGCTGGAGCCGGGCCCGGCCTGGCAGGGGTGGTGGCGCAGGCCCTGCAACCCGGGCCCAGCAGGGGCGGCCCGACGGTCACTGGGACCAGGCCGGCCGCCCGCCACCCTCATTACCTGCGGCCACGACTGTTCCGTGCGGAGCCGGGGGAGTCCGGGTGATCGCGCGCTGCCCGGACTCGCCCCCTTCCCGCGTCCGGTTCCCTGCGGGTGGCGCACCCTGCGGTGCCGAAGAGGAGGCGGCGGGGCCTGGCGCTCCCTGCGCAGGGGACGGCGGCGCGGAACGACGAGGACCGGCCGTCGGCGGACAATGCAGCCAGAGAAGACCCGCGCGGCGCGAGTGGGGCCGGGCGGTGCGCGCGTGGCCGAGTGTGTATGTGTGTGCCTGTCAGTCAATGCTGACAGGCCGCGGCCCATTGGCCAGGCTCCTCCTCCCGTCCCCGCCCACGGCCGTCGCCCATTGGTTGATTTGAACACAAAGGCCCCGGCTCGCCCCGCCCTCCGCGTGGGCCCAGCGTGGGCCCAGCGGCCCAAAGATTCCATCCTGTGAGTCCTGCGGAGTGATGCGCGTAGCGCGCTGCGACTCCTGGGTCTCGAGAGGACACGGCGCGGTCGGCTTTGGGGCCGGCGCTCGGCTGGTCCTCTACTTAGGCACAGGACTCGGGATCTTTTGTACAAGAACGCTTCAGATACTGCGAGTGCGCCCTGGTGCCGCTGCCCCCACGCGCGCCGCCGTGCACACGGTGCCAGGGCCCTAAGAGCATTTGGTACTGGGGGCACCGCGTCGCCGAGGTCGGCCCGAGGGGAAGGTAGGAGAGCCAGGCTCGTGACCTGGCAGGGAGTAGTGCTCCGTTAAACCCAGAGTTGGCTTGCAAAACGCTGGGTTACTTGCACAAGCGTAGTTTTTGACAATTCTACACCCATTTTAGTGACAAGAAATCGCTAGGTTACAACATTGAGATTAGAAGACTCCCTGTGGAATCCAAACCTATGGTTTTCGTTTTTGGGATTGTTTTAGGACTCCAGGCACAGCAAGAGGTGTCCCAAGCGCCAAGACCCCCAAATTTTACAACAGCTTTTCCCTTTGAAGGGATGCTTTTGCCACCACTGACACCAAGGAAGTCAGGGCTGGCTGGCTGCCTGTTCTGCCTGCCCATGGGCTGAGCCTAGTGCTCAGATGCCGAGGTCAAGGCCCTTCCCTCCCAGCCAGCCTTTGCACAGGTGCAGGGTTGGGGAGAGGGCACTTCCCGTGCAAGGCCTTCTAAGCGATGAAGAAACCCAAGTGTTTTATTTCACTTTTAAAGTGCAGTACCGAGAGGAAATGAGACAAGAAGTGACAAAATGACAGAGGCAGGCACAGGAAGGTACTGGGGGTAGGTGACTGAGGAACCACCAACCCTTCCTGCTGAGTTTGCTCAGGACAAAAACCTTTTGGGCCTCTACTGTCTGGCCTGGAATGGGGTTGTCCCTTGCTCTTATAGTACCTTAAGATAACGCTGCCCAGGCAGACAGGGTGGGGGTGATGCTTTCAACCCCAGATGGCCAGAGTGTTCCCCATTCTGTCTTGGCCAATTTCAGCAGAGTCTCCACACTCCACCTTTGCAGAAGCAGTGCAGAGACAGCTTTGCCCCACTTTGAGGGTCCCAGCAAGAATCATGCCCACAGCTGACTGGAGGGGCCCCTCTTAAACTGTCCTGACTCTGTGGACCTGCAGGAGGTGGACTAATGGTCTCTAGATACCAGATTCGGGTTCTGCAATAGAATGTGACTGAGATGAAAAGACTTAGAAGGGGTGATTCAAGATTCCAAAGTGGAGAATCAGGGGATTCACACTGCAATCCTAGGCACCCTCTGCCAAGCAGTGTACAGAGGAGGGGGTAGTGTGACCCCAAAGGCAGAGACTGAGTGATGCGGCCACAAGCCAAGTTCTGCTGACAGCCATCAGGAGCTGGCAGGGACTAGGAATAGACTTTCCCATTAGATTGTCCCTGCTCACACCTTGGTGATGGCCCAGTGATTTTGATTTTGAATTTCGGGTCTCAGAACTGTGAGAAAATCCAGCCTACTTGCTTGAAGTTACCATATTCACAGTAAGTTGTTACAACAACCACGGGAAGCTAACAAATGGCCCTTGGAAAACTTTTGGTCTTGGCATCCAAGGCTCTTGTGATTGTGCCAGGACCCTCTTTCTCTTCTGAGCATTCTGACACCCCAATCAGATTTCTCAGCTGACACAGAGCCTTCTGCCCATCTCCTCTGACCTTTGCCCCTCCTCTGCCCACTTAGTGTCCCTTCCCTACTGGGCTCCTTTCTGCCCTTCAGCCATGCAGTAGGCTGCTCTTCTCCCTGTTACTTCTTTGGGTCCTCCACTGTCCTCTTCTTGCTCATCTTTTTTTTCTTTTTTTGTAAATGGTGGGGGTAGGGGGCGGATTTTCCTGCATAGATTGAATCTCAGTGACTGATGCCTGTGGCCACAGACCAGGGATATATTATGGACTGTCTCCTTTGCTTTTGACCTTGGGTAAGTCACGTAATTTCTCTGAGCCCTTTGCCTTTTTCATAAAAGGAACTAATGATCCCAACTATCATGTCTGCCTTGGGAAGGTCAGTGAGGCTCTCTGGCCTCCCTTTCCTTGCATGTGAGGTCGAGGGAAGGTGGGAATGTGGATGGCCTCCCAATACTGCCCACCCACAGCTGTGGGCTTTGTGGGAGGACAGAGAAGGAGCCATCAGGTCTGTCCTGTACCCTTTGGGAAGGTCAGGTGGCTCCTCCCTGCTTCCAGAGACCAGGACCTCCCTGTTCCACCCACATAGCTGGAGAATGAGCTGTGTCCTGCCAGGTCCCCACCCATGGCCTTGTGACCAGTAACAGGTTCACAGTGGGTGCTCAGTATGCTGCGGTCCTGCAGCCAAGGCCACCTCCTCTCCTCACCCCCTACTCCCACCATCGGCATCAATCAGCAGCCAGAGTGGCAGTGGCGTCTGTCATTAACCATCAGAAGACAGCCCTTGGTGGGGGTGGAGACTTTCATGTCAGGCTTCCTGACTGCAGCTCTCAGGTAACTTCAGTGGGGCGTGATGCCCTCAACTCCCAGGACTGTTTCTCTGCCTCCAGGGCTCTGATGTGGGCTGCTGCTCCTGCCCAGGCCTGTTTGGGGACAAGGCTCAGTATCTGCAGGCTTTCATCCAGGGAGCTCAAAGGCCAGTCACCAGGCTACAGTGCAGTTAAGCTTGTTTTATGGACGAGTCCAGCTCCAGGAAGGAGAGGCTGTGGATTCAGGTTACAGCTGGTCAGTCAGTGCCAGAGACAGAATGCTGGTCCCTGACAAAGCTGGACACTCCCAGGCACGTGGAGATTGGCCCAGACCCTGGTGGATGACTGTGCCTTAGTCACCTCTGTCTTCCATGCCCATTACAGTGCCCAGCTCCTAATAAATGCTCAATAAATGTGCAGCTCCCCACTCTTCTGTCCCAGACACCTTCCCTGGCGTGGCCTCCAGTGCAGACCCACCCAGGCCTTGCCTGCATCCACAGAGCCTTGCCCACTGCCAAGCCCATGCTCAGCCTGTGTGGTGTCCTGGTGTGCCCTTTCCTGTCCTATGCCTGATGGCGTCTTGCTGGCCATCAGCACAGTGCTGCCCAAGTAGAGGAAAGGCCTGGATAGCTGCGTGCTCAAGAGGGAGGTGCTGGCCTGGGGCCTCTGAGGGCAGGGCTCCATGACCAGAGCTCAGGGCCAGCATTACAGGGCTTGCCTGATGCCCATGGAGGTGGCCTGTCCATCCTGGAAATGGACTTGGCTTCTGGGGACATCCACCAGCTGCTTCACCTCCGTGGTGACACTGTGGGGCCAGTGGTTCAGAGTCAGGCTTTAGACTAGAACCTTTCCAGTGAGGACAGGTTATTCAGCTTTCCCTGGCCTCCATCCTTGACTGTGGAATGGGGACGATTAGAAAGTTGGAACACGGGATGGGCAGGTAAGTTTGTCCTTGGTGTAGCTCTTATTTTTCTTTTTTAAAAATAAGGATTGTGGGGATGGCGAGATAGCTCAGTGGACTAAGCATCTGCTTAGGTAAACGCGGGGACCAGGGTTTAATATATATATATGGATTCATTCATTCCACTCGTGCTCCTTGCAGGCCTATTCTGACAATGGGAGACGTGACACCCCCCCCCCCGTCCCAGGGCTCCTGGCTTGTGTGGGTCACTAGAGCAGCACAAGACACACAGCCCAGGAGGGTCCCTGGGATCTAAGGATCCCCTATGACCAGAGCTTCAGTATGTCTTCTGTGGCATAAATAATATTTTATTTTATTTTATTTTTTCAGAACTGGGGATTGAACTTAGGCCCTTGCGCTTGCCAGGCAAGTGCTTATTCTACTGAGCTATATCCCCAGCCCCTAAATAATATCTACTTTTTTTTTTTGGCAGAACCAGGGATTGAACTCAGGCCCTTGTGCTTGCTGGGGAAGCACTTATTCCACTGAGCCATCTCCCCGACCCCCCGAAATAATATTTAAAAAAATATTTTCCCTCTAAAATATTTAAAATTGTAATTTGTGACTGTATAAAGGTCACATCCAATATAATCCAGGTTTGATTATATTGATCTTTTTTCTTCTGATAAAAAAAAAAAAAATGCAACATTCCCTAGTCCTGTGCCTGATGGAGAGTCGGCTGTCTGCCCGCGGCTGTAATAAACAGACCTAGGGATCGGGAAGCTGCCAGAGTTGTGGGCAAGGGCAGTAGCTGGGGAAGACGGGACAGCAGGGAGGTGGGCCTGCTGCCTAGGCCTGTAATCCCAGCTATTTGGGAGGCTGAGGTAAGAGGTAGGAAAGACGGCAGCTGACCCAGGCAATTTAGTGAAGCTAAAATTTATTTATTTATTTATTATTATTTTTTTATTTTTATTTTTTGGTGGAACCAGGGATTGAACGCAGGCCCTTGTGCTTGTCAGAGAAGCTCTTATTCTACTAAACCATCTCCCCAGAGCCCTAAAATTTAAATAATGTTAAAAAAAAATCTGCAATTTCCGAGACAGAAGGATTGCTGAAAGTTTAAGGCTAGCCTTGGCGAGTGAGTCCAAGGCCAGCCACAACTACCTGGTGAGACCCTGTCTCAAAAGCCAAAAACATAAAAGTAAAATGAATAAAAAAAGAAAACCAGGGATGTAGTTTGGTGGTAGAGCACTTGCCTAATGTGAGTGAGGGTCTGGCTTTGGCCCCTAGTCCCACCCCTCCAAAAAAATCGGGATAGTGGAGAAAGCGTTCAGCTCATAGGCAGTGGCCAAATGGACCAGACCCACTTCATGAAGACAGCAGCCTGAGACCCACTCCGGGTGACCTCCCAGCCCTGCTACTGGAGTGGTCACCTCTGGTTGGGAGGCCCCAGGACACCCCTAGGCCCCGCCCCATGCAGACTTCCATCTCTCGCCATGTCCCCGCTGTGGGACAGCAGCGCCCCCTAACTTGAGCATGGGGTAGTCAGGTCCCCGCCTTTCCATGAGGGAGGATACCCAGAGGCACCGTTGCCTCCGGGTGTGACACTAGTACTCGCCCCGCCCCTTGGGAAGGGCCGCCTCCCTGAGGCCCCAGCTGTTGCCCCAGCCATGGCTGAGGGCCTTTTGCTTGGTCTGGATTCCAGTCCACTTAGTCCGCGTGTGCCCAGCTTCCCTCCCCCACCACCCTGTTTCCTAAGGACCAAGCTTCCTGCCAGCCGGAGTCCCTCAGGGGTGGCAGCTGTGTGACTGGCCTTGGTGGCTCCCCATTCAGCAGGGCTGGATGGTGAGGACGAAGGCTGCACAGCTCAGCTTGCTGGCCAGTCGAGCTCCTCAAGCCCCTCCAGGGCACGGTGCTTTGCAGCCTGTGTGACCTGCTGCGGCAGCACAGGGCCCCTGGGGCTGGCTGGTGGTCCAGCCAGGGGCTCAGTGGCCAGGAGCTGCAGGCTAGAGAAGGTGGACTTCCCCATGCTGAATGGTGGGAGGCTCAGGCTGGGGAATACGTGGCGCATTCACAGTGCATGTGTGTGCGCACACATGTATGTGCCTATGTCTGGCTGTCATCACCCTAAAGGACGCTTCTGGGTTCCAGGTGGCTCCTGGGCTCTGAGGATCCCAAGCTCATCACCTTGCTTTTCGAGTCTACAGAGTTCGGGGCTCTGCTGCTTCCTCTTCCTTTCTGCCTCCCACCCCATTCCATACCCCACTTTAGCTGTGACTGTATAAAGGTCACGTCCAATATAATCCAGGTTTGATTATATTGATTTTTTTAAAAAAATTTTTTATTTGCAGAACTGGGGATTGAACTCAGGTCCTTGCACTTGCCAGGGAAGCGCTTATTCTACTGAACCCTCTCCCCGGCCCTGATTTTTTTTCTTCTGATAAAAAAATGCAACATTCCCTGGTCCTGTGCCTGATGGAGAGTCGGCTGTCTACCCGCGGCTGTAATAACCGGACTTAGGGATCGGGAAGCTGCCAGAGTTGTGGGCAAGGGCAGTAGCTGGGGAAGACGGGACAGCAGGGAGGTGGGCCTGCTGCCCAGGCCTGTAATCCCAGCTATTTGGGAGGCTCAGGCGGCCTTGATTCCAGGCTGCCTTCATAACGCAGGCAGCTTCTGGCTTCTTCCCGGCCTGCATCCCTTCCCCAGGTCCTGTCCCTCTGCCCACCCTCCCTCACAGGACATGACGCTAGAATCCTAGGTCCCTCTGGCCTCCCTCCATAGGTGCTCCCTTGGGAGTCCTCATTGTGAGGCCTCCTCTTCTCCCACTCCCCCGGGGTAACGTGTTATGCTGTCCTCACCCCCAAGACTAGGGGATCTCCCCAGCTTCCGCCCTCCTGTCTACTGCCACCTCCACAAAACTGTCAGGGGCCCTTCCTGGAGCACAGGCTGGGTCTGCTCATCTGTCTCCAGCTCTTTACCTGTCCATGGTTCCATCACCCCCAAGTCAAGACTTCCTGTGATTCAGCCTCTGTCTGTCTGTCTGTCCCTCCAGCTCCATGGCCTGCCCTCCCCACCTCCTTCTCCACTCAGGCACAAAAGCATGACCATGGCAGGGTTGGGCCCTAGGCCTGTGTGCCAGGATGGCACTGGGCTGGCATGGGCAAGACAGATCACCTGCTTAATCCATCTGATGTGCTTTCTTCCTGGGAGTCTGGGAATTGGCGCATGCCAGGGACGTGGCGCCCATGTGACCAGCTTCCAGGGTAAGGCTTAGGTGCCGAGTCTCCACTGAACACGCCTAGTAGACAGCATTCTCTGTGTCATCAAAACAGCTGCTGGGGGACTTCAATGCATGCTGGGAGACCAGCTGGGGAGAAGGTCCTCGGAGACCTGAGTAGATTCCTCTGTGAACTTCATTCCTGCGCTTGCTGGGCCCTGAAGCCTTTTGCTGCAGGTCACAACTGGGAACTTGACTACAAAATGAGTCCTTGTCTGGTGTGGTGGTGCAGGCCTGTAATTCCACCACTCTGGGAGGCAGATGCAGGAGGGTCATGAGTTCAAACCCAGCTCAGGCAGCTTAGGAACTTGGCAAGACCCTATCTCAAACTAAAAAAATAAAAGGGCTGCAGATGTAGCGCAGTGCAAAGGCCCTGCTTTCCGTGCACAGTACCACATTTACAAATAAATAAGTAAAGTGTATCTCCTAGCAAATCCTGGAACCTGGGCGGTCTTGGAGATCACAACACCCTAAGCCTTCTTTCCAGACATCCCAAGGCTGTTCACACCTCTAAGGCTTGGCACCACCCTTCTCTGCTCGGTGGACCAGGCTAGGTTCTACAGGAAAACATAGGCTTTAAAAACAGTAAATGCAATGTGTTCACACAGCCGTGAAGAGGACAGAAAGAGAGTTCAAAGTTATTCATATAAGTGGACCAAGCTCCTGCTTTGGCAAGCATAGGGACCAAGGTTCGATCCCCAGTCCTGCATGCCACACTGGCTCTGCCCCCAGGGCGAAGTCCGGGCGTAGTGGCAAACTCCTGGAATCCAGCACTGGGGAGGCTGAAAACAGAAGGATCACTGCGAGTCCAAGCTGCATAGTGAGACCCTGTGCCAAACACTTAAGTGGAATAAGGATTTTTTTTTTTTTTTTTGTTCCTCGAATGGCTTCAGGGCCCTTTTGGCCAGCGGGAGAGTTGTGAGGTTCGAACTCCAGCAACCTGAGGCTGAGAGCTTTGTGGAAGCAGCCACTTAAAGGCCTGAGCTAGGGCCATGCCCCCTAATGGAATAAGGATTTTTTTTTTTTTTTTTTTTGCTCCTTGAATGCCTTCAGGGCACTTTTGGCTGGCTGGAGTGTTGTGGGGATTGAACTACAGCAAACTGAAGCTGCCAGCATTGTGGAAGCAGCCACTTAAAGAACTGAGCTAGGGCTGGGCCCCCACTTAAGTGGAAAACAAAACAGCAAAGTTATTCATACAAAAATGTAGCTCTGGCCAGGCGTGGTGATGCAAGCCTACTATTCCGGCACACTGAACAACTTAGTGACGTAGGCCGTGTCTTGAAATGAAAAAAATATTTCTGTATCAATGGATGGATGATCCAGAAATGTCACTGAGCTATGAAAAAGAATGAATCTCACTTTCGGGTGTGAACCCCAAAGAATTGAAAGCTGAGCCTCAGGTGCAAGGCCATGTCTACCGCAGCTCAAAATGTAGGGACAGCTTTGTGTCCACAGATCCGTGCTGGAATATTACTCC